AAAAATTATTAAATATTAAATGGTCTATTATTCTCCAGACGGTGCCTCTCACGTCACTGGCACAGCACTGAGGAGGCACCTGGAAGGGGAGCCAGGCCCTCCGTGAGGCTTCCTGCTCCCAGCGCGCCCGCGGTGCCAGCGACGCGCTCCAGGCCTTGGGCTCTCCGGCGCCAGGTCCAGCGGCTCATGCGCCACCGCACACTGCCCCAGGTGAGATATCACCCTGCCCTGCGTCTTGAAACCTGGCCTGGACTTGGCCTCCTTAAGGGTGCGACTCCCTCCAGGCTTCTGTTTGAGAAAAGGGCGGTTTCACCCACACTGAAGATTTGCTCTGGCAAGCAGCTTTCCCCCACAGTCAGCTCATCTGGAGGCTCCTCAGCGGCTCTGTGCCGACACTTGCAGCGAGGCACCGGCGTGGGTGCCGCCTGACGCGGGATCTGCGGGTGCTTCGGCAGAGCGCGGTGGGCCAGCCCCACAGCGAGGCCCCGTCTCTTCCTCAGCGTGGCAAACTCGGCTTCGGTTGTGATGCCGATGGTGTTGAGAGGGACACGCTTCCGCGCTGGTCTTTAGCCCAGGCTGCTGGGGTTTTCTGTAGGGCTGATAAAGAACTGCCCGAGTTCTTTTTGGTCTTGTTGCTTCCAATGAAGCGGCTCCTTTAACGCCTCTGCCGCTCCGCTCTTGTTCTCTGAGATCACGGTGATGGGACCTGAGACTGCCTGGTGGCGAGCAGTAGCCATCACTAGTTTTTTTTCCTTTCATAATTCTTAATCACTTGTAATTTTGTTTCCAGGTCAGTTACTCAACGTGGCCTCTCCCAGGCAGCATTAACTGGCCCTTGTACACTCGGGGGCCACGAGCAGGTCAAAACCGGCCCTCAAGAGACGAGGTAAGCACAAGCGGCGCGCAGGCCGCAGAGCTGTTTCAGCAAAGCCCGAGCTGCATGACCGCCCGCACGGGGACTGCCGGGACCCTGCCACCCTGCCTAAAGCCCTGCGCCCCTCTTTGGCAGCTCCCCAGCTACTGTCTCCCGTGTGCTCCGCACCAACAGGGCAGTGCCCAGTGGCCCTGGGACGGCTCCGGCTTCTTTGCCCAGTGGTTCCGGCTCCGAGCGGCACGGCACACGCTTCTTCCTGGCGCTGCCTGGCGCTCCGTGCGCGGCCCTGCCACCTTGGTTCACTTTCACTGACTCGTGAGCATCTGGGTAATTTCCACCATTACTATTATTAACAATTCTGTTATGAACCTGCATGTACGTGTTTTTATATGGACAGGTTTTTAATTCTCTTGCAAGTATGCCTAGGAGTAGATCTGCCAAATCATATGATAACTTGACGTTCAATTTTTTGAGCAACTGGCCAAATTACTTTCTTTTTTTCGTGATCATGGTATCTCCCCTGCCAGGTAAGTATACTTTCTTTTTTTAAGTAGCATGGTTTTTGCTTTTCCCAGCAATACTTTCCACTGTAGAATAATATGACGATTAGGGACAGAAGGCAGGTGCCCAGCAAACCTCTCCATGGCAACGTGAAAAGATGGTATGGGGCGGGGGTTATAAATGGCTCCAGGCAGCTTCCCTCCGACCCAGCAGTCCCACTCCTAGGTCTCTACCCAAAAGACACAAAAACACTGATTGAAAAAGACCTGCACCCCATGTTTATTGCTGCTTTACTTATAATAGGAAAGACATGGAAACAGCCCAAATGCCCACAAGTAGATGACTGGACTAAAAAGATGTACATATACACAATGGAATATTATTCAGCAATCGAAAAAGATAAGCACATGCCTTTTGCAGCAACATGGGTCTCCACCCATGCTGAGTGAAATAAGCCAGAAAGAAAAAAAGAAAAATACCGGATGGCTTCACTCATAGCAGGAGCATAAAGGACCAGGGGGAAATAATAATAATAATGAACAACTGCATACCAGAGACATTTCACCGGGGTGGAGTAAGGAAAGGGATCAAAAAAAGGGGCAGAGGGGAGTGCACGGGCCTGTGGTGATGGCACAGGGTGATCTGGTGATGGGAAGCCGACGGGGATGACCACTGAGATGGGAAAAAGCACAAAATGATCTAAAAATAAGCTATTGATTAAAAAAAAACATTAAAAAGTGGCCCCAGGTATACTGTATACCACAGCGTAACAGAAAACACCTACCGGACGTGCTTGCGGGCTGTGCAGCTCTCAACCCCACCCGTGTGGGGGGCTCTTGGAGAGCAGAGCCTCACGCACAGCGCCTCTGCCTTCGAGGGCAAGTGTACCGGCTCTTTCCCTTTAATCGTGGTTTACTACTCCAGCTTCTATCAACATCACTTCATTTGTACTCTATTTTATCACTGTAATTACAATCATCTATGAAAGCGGTTACGCTCTCCCTGCCAGTCCTTTCACGCTCTGCCTTGCCCATTCACGGCCTGACACTGACTCACCCTCGGCTGTGGAGCCGACTCCAGAGCTCCCTCCCCAGGAACGAGTGTGGGTGTAGCAGAAGTTACGCGCAAGGTGTCTCCTTGCGTGACTGCAATGAATTTCTGTAGCTGTCAAGTGTGAAC